GTAAAAGCCTGAAATGGTGAATTTTATCAGGAATTTCGAATTTTTACAAGTCAATACTGGTAAATCCATACATTTACCAGTATTTCTAAAATTTACTGGACTTTGGATTTTTACAGTAACATAAAAATACAATCCTATTGAGAACATTATAGTCTTCTTATGAAGAAGATACTTGTATAATATAATTACTAAATAATAAAACAGCATAATTGTATGAATAACAGAATACAGGCTTCCCTGTCAAGCTTTACAACAGCAGCTGAAGAGAGAATTAATTTTTAATCAAATTTATTCTGTTTAATCAAATTACAATTTTCAGCAGAAACTAACTTTGTTATACTTTATTTTTTTTAATTCATTCAATATTATATTTTTAACTGCATCTAGAAATTTCATACAATTACTCATATCTTTTTAGTCAAAATATCTTCTCAATTTGAGGCTTGAAATTATTGCTACAGGATTTAGTAACTTCAATTTAGTTATTCAACTTGCATTTCATTTAGAAATAAAAAAATGCATTTAAAATCAAATATAATGAGGGGAAAAATTACAATTAAAGCTATAATGATGCCACTAAAAACTATTTACTTTTATTTTTCTTTAAGACCAAATTGCATAATTGACTGTTCTGCAACTACCATTCTCATGGCATATGCAACTTTTAACTTGGATTTGATGGCATACCATAAAATATATGTATAACTAAACAATACATAACAATAAATTTAATAAGATTTGTAGTTTTCAATAAGAAACAAAAGTCAAACATGTATTTAGTGCCTCCATTTGTTGATACTAAATTTAATGCAATCCCAAACTAAATTAATTCAAAAAAAATAGCAATTGTATATAATAATGAGGTCTACATACAATTTTGAGTTTGAAAGTGTATTCTTTGGTGATAACAATGCCATTTTCAATATAAAATTGTACATTCATAGATACTGAAATGATTTCTATTTAATATTTATAAAGATCTGTTCACAAATATTTATTGGTGCTTTATGAAATTGATATTTTTTGGAGGGATATCAAGCCTTGACTGTACTTTTAAAATGGAAAATTAAGTTAAGTAATGCAATTAATTTAAAAACATTATATTAAAAAACTTCACAGCATATTAAGAAAAGCCTTTTCTTTCTTTTTTGTAGGTAATCCATTTATATAATTAGATTTTAGAAATAAAATATAGGATAAATTAAGTATAAAAATGTTACTTATAAACTGCTTTTTGCTCAAACTGTTAGTATTTAAAGAAAATAAACGAACATTCATTTCAAAACTGCATATTAAGTCTCTAATAACTAATTGACATTATTAGTCTTTTATTATATAACTATCTGGTTGTGCGTCAACAGGATAATATTCTGATAGCTTGACAAAGGGCAATATACATATGTGAACGTGTTCATTTGATATAAGAAATAATGAACAACATATACTAGGTGCATTTTGTCAATTTTTCTTCTTGAAAATTATCTTATCAAATTTGCAATGATAGAGAAATAGTCACCTGTAATGAATCATGAACATCTCCAGCAATCATATGCAGCTAATGCACATAGCCAAATGCAAGTTTTCAAGTGACACAAGTGCTTCTGAAATGGCCAACAGAGTGCCCAAGATGACACAAAAAAAAAAGGTCACTGTCTCGATCATCCACCCTACTCACTCAATTTTGTTCTGGCTGACTTTAATTTCTTCGCAAAGTAAAAGCAAAGTCAAATCATAAATGGCACATTACGTTGACTCTGAAGAAGCAACATAATGTGGACTTTGACAATATCAAGAACATTAAGAACATTTTGAGCAGCTTCACTTGCAATGAATTTTTGAAAATGTTTGACTGATTAGCTGCATGATTGTTACAAGAAATACCTCAATGCTAAAGGGAAATATGCTGAATAAAAATAAAATTATTTTTGTACGTGCTTTCTTATCACAAAAGTCCAGTTTTGTGTAATCCAGAATCAATTAAATATAAAAGTTTCAACCCAGAAACTTAAATATTTCATTTACTTAATTTTAAATTTTATTATAAAGTAACAAAATAAAAAACAGTAGAGTTGTTAAAGATTCAATTTAAAAAAAAAAAATGTATTTTTTCACATTTATTTCTAATGATTGAAATTATATTATATTAAATTATTCATTCCAGTATAAGTTCTTGCTTTTATTTATTTATTATATTAGCACTGAATGATAGTTTCATTTTATCAGTCAACATGATAAGTAAAGAAAACCGGTTCAACCTAGTTTATATATAATTTTTTAACAAATTATGAATTGTTTTTGTGTGTCATGAAATATTGAGTAAATAAAATAATGCATGCTTATGGAAATGAACTGTACTTTCTATTATTTTAAAATGTAAAATTATTAAATATCTATTTAATAAAGCTATATTGATTTTACTGACTGGTTCACTAACAAATTGTTTGATCAGAAGCTTGCTTCATATAGAAAAATGTAATTTTACAATCAAAAGGGAATATGTCAAGTATTTTACTAAAATCCCAAAATATTTAAAAATTCAAATATTTTATGCATTGTAAAACATCAAAGTTTACTCTACAATGCCTTGTTCAAGTTAGAGAGGATTAAACAAAATATCATCTAAATATCATTATCTACATTTCAAGATTAGAATAAAATGCTTGTTTTTTTTTTGTTGTTCAGTTAAAATAATCAAAGGGGAAGCGCAGGTGGACACTGTCAAAATTGGGTAGGAGGAGAAACTGAGACACACTTCTCTGTATGGCTTCAAGTGTATAAAGCCCTGTAGGAATATATTTACATAATGCTGTGCAAAAAATAAATAATACAGGTAGCTAACATTACTATTAAAAGTAATGTTTTTGGACAGATATCCAACCAATATCAAGCTTCAAACAACTCAATTAACAGATCAGAATGCAGCAAAAATTCTTATGTTAGAATAAAATTTAACATATCAAGACAATTATAGAGTAAAATTTTTATATTATAAACATATACAACAGTTCTTATATTAGAGCAAAGCAAAAACATGATATCAGTTGTTTTACACTATCTCAAGCATTCTTAATATTAAACATTAAAATCCACCAGAATGCATTAACATTTATTAACAACAAACTACTTAAGGATTTTTTTTTCTTTAACATAACAATACTCTTGCAACAAAATTAATTGTTTATGTTTAGTTTTAATTTGTTTACATAAAATACAATTTACTTTTATGTACTTCTATACAGTTATAATTGTAATACCATCAAATTTAATATATACCCTTTAATTATTTATTATTACTCTTATAATTATGTTTTATTATGACATATAACTTTTATATTTTGATTATTTTACTGCAAATTTACTTAAATTTTTCTTTTTGCAATCTGAGAATGATTACAAAACAATGGAGGTCAAGGATTGCATATTTTGTGCTACTTATTCAATGAAATTATTTTAAAATTACATGAAAATTCAATTATAATGAAATTTCATTGAAAATAATTTTAATTTCTGGAATTATTTATAAATAATGTAAATTTTCCATTCCAAAAATTACATAGCTATAATGGATCAATATATATATTGAATAAAATGGAACGTAAAGCCAGAAGTATGTTATCATTTCTTTTACCTTATCCTAAGAGACTTTAAGATCAGTTATTACAATCTGAATGAAAAGAAATTTTGAAAACAGTTATTTGGTATAAACAATATTTGAACAACAGAAAATCTCCAAATATATAAATCTTCATTTATTAACAATATCTTTTATAAACATGCAATTAATAAACAGTAATTCACTATTCATGTCACAGAAAATAGTTAAATTTATAAAATTAAAAAACTAAATAGGTTTTTTTCTAACAAACACTCAGAAAGATAATATTATTATATTAATCTACAGCATTTGTTAATTTAAAATAATCAGTATTAGATAAATGAAATCAGTTTACATATATTTTGTTTGCTTTTTATTACATTTTCATAGCATTAGATAACATTATGTTTACAATCAAAAACAAAGAAATTATAGTCAACATGAATTATAACAAAACGTTAATCTTTGGCAATATTTAAAACTTTTATTTATTTAATTCTGTTAACTGGGCACCAGTCATTTTTACTACTATTTTTAGCAAAATTGATATTTTATTTCATAATTCACACACATTTAATATTACAACAAATATGTTTATACTACACATGTTTATACATCATTGTTTATACATATTAAGGTTTACCTGTAAAAATTGTGAAATTAAACATCGTTTTTTGTCTAAAACTGTATTAAAAATTGAATGGTGCCCAGTTAACGGAAAAGTACCGGAAAAGGTAATAAAAGTTTATATACTTTATCAGGTGTGGTACCAGTTAAAGAACCACTTTGATTTTCATACATCTATTCTAGGAAATGCACCGCAAGTTTGAACAAAACCAAACTTTGTGCTAACTTTCCACCGGTTTGTATACCGGTACAAACCGAATAACTCGTCGGTTTGCACAAAGCACAAACCGACGAGCTATCGTGCCAATTAAAGAAACTAGGCAAAGCCATAAGATCACTTCGAAAACATACCAACACCGATATTTAAGTCATAACCATATTAGATTCGCAGTGTTTACGTACGTATCTTATTTATATTTGTAATTATAGATTTATCTGTAAATCTAACGCTCAAAACTCACCTTTTCTATTATACATTTGAATTATACTTAAACTTAACTGTGTTTTCCCATTCTTTATTATATTTGTGTAGAAGTTACTTTCAGGTCAATCATTTATATACATATACATACGCTTAAAAGTAACTTTTATCTTAATTTGAATGTTGTATAAGGAAGGGAAGTGGATAAACATAGCAAACATTTTCTTTAATGTACTTTTTTTTTGTCAATTATACTCTCATATTGTATATTAATTAAAGCATTAAAGTGATTTAGATCATAAATTTTTAACTATTAAGGTTAATTTAAGCGTATAAAACGACGAAATATTTACTAACCTTAGGACGATCGTAAGGTTTAGCGTTGTGTGTCGTATGCCTTTTGAGTCTAGTCGACATTTTTTTTTTTTTTCTTTTCTCTTTTTCTTCGATGAAAAACAAATCTTATATTCTAAATGACTAAAAATGATTGTTTTTTAACATGATAATATTAAAATATAAACAAATAAACCGTTTCGAGAGTGAATTCGTTACCGATACACAATTTTAATTCACAGTTTTAGGCTTCGCCAAACGAATCGAATCACTTCTACTAAAATGGCGGTCATAGCTAACTTCAATTTGATTGGTCGATTTCAAATATTCTCGATCCCCCTACTTTTTTTTATTGTTATTATTATTTTTTTAAATAAATAATATATATTTTTTTATTAATATTTTTATATAATCTGTTATTTATATATATATTTTTTTTAATTTGTGATTTTATTATTTGAAATATATTTTAGTGTAAAAATCACTGTTGTAATGTCAGAATTCACGTCGATGAATGGGACAAACGGCAAAAACGGAAACAATACGATAAAGAGAAACGGTAAAAACGAACGTGAATTATTTACTGTAATGGATTGCGCAATTGATGTTTTGATAATTTACATTTACATTTTCTTCCTTTTTCATTGTTACTATTATGCGCAATCGAAGTAAATATGTTAGTAACAAATGAATAGAATCATCGCATTCGCATTTGTCCGAATATAATTTTTCAAACTGCTAAAATAATTTTAATTTGTCTCAAGATCCCCGCAATTTTTCCCAGTCGTTCATATAAATTTGCCATTACAGTGCCTCTATGATATTACAATTTCGGAAATTATTTTCAAATTAAATTAAATATATTATATTACTATTAAATATTTTAATTTACTCATGTTTTTACCGATCATCAACGAGTTGGTAATACATTTTCTAAAATTTTTGAAGAGGAGAATAAAGCGAAGCTTCTTCTATGAGGTTACAGATTTGCGTTCGTTCTTAAAATCCGTTCGATAGATTTTGATTAAACTTTGCTATTTTCTATTAATTACCATGCGGAATCCAAAAATGCAATAACAAATGAGGGTCCATGACTTCGTTTTCGAGATATAAAGTCGTTTTACGAGCGCGCGCGAAAGAGCGATATCGCACGAATCTCGCGACTTTGTCATGCGATGTTTCACGGTCGCTAGCACATCTTGTATGGGCTTATAGTATAGAATCGACTTCGTTCTCCAACTATTTATTGCACATATTCATTACATTATCCCGGTGTAACTTACTCGATAAAAATAGAAAAATATTGCACATTATCTTTGCCCGAATCTATCTAAAATTAATAATTGACAAAGTTGGATCTATAAATATAAGTTTTAAGCTAAAGATTTTAAATTTGTATTATTAATTAATTAATAGTTAATAGCTCTATCGTATAACTATCGCATTTTGACTTATATTGTATTCAAAAGAGTGATGATATTCTTTATTGTTATGTATCTAATGATTATAATTGGACTGATGGGAATTAGCTCCCTTGATCGTCTCACAAATGAGGAAGTTTTGAGGACAAGACACACAAAGCATCTGAAAGGCATTGTAGTGAGATACGGACTGTTCATGTCTTTCGCCTGTCAGACCACCGACACCCAAAAACAGCGATAGGAGATGCCACTTGAAGAGCAAAGCAGCTGACGCGAAGACGAACGCTCCAGGAAAATGTCAGGATACTAGGGATTGCATGGAATACTATAGACAAAGTCGCATCCGATAAAATCCGATGAAGACGAACTTGTCGAATGAGCTTCAGATGCGCAGACATAGCTAGGAGAGAGATTAGTAAACATGCCGAATGTTGAAATAGAAAAAAGCCAAGAAATTCCACATCAATTTGAATAATATATCATACGTGTGCTTCTTTCAGTAGCAATATTGACATGAATCAGTTACTGGCCTTAACTGACGTGAGAAATTAAAACATGCCAACAATTGAAGTGTTAAAACATCAAGGAATAGACGGTTAAGGTGACACTTATCGCTTTGGAGGAGTCGGGATTGAATCTGGACGGATCGAAAAACCTTAGGAATTTTTCGGGAATAGTCCGTCCGGATATGTCGGTCTCTTACTACTTGTTTGTTTGTTTTTTTTTTTTTTTTGCACTTTCCGCCCCGTGGACACTAAGACGGCCTCTTTTAGAAAGCCCATTATTGGTTCAGCCAAACCCACAATTGGCGGCTGAGTGGTAAGGGCCGACATATCCGATCGGATCAACCCCCCCAAAAAATTCCTGGAGATTTTTCGACCCCTCCGGATTCGATACTATGTCCCTCAGAGCGGTAGGTTGCCACCTTGACCGCTCAGCCATCTGGCCATGGTCCCTCACTATTTGGCCGTGCCATTGTGGGTCTGCCGAACCCTTAATGGGCTTGCAGACCACCAGTGGTCGAGTGGATAAAACTACTGAACACTGATGATCGTGGGTTTGTGCCTTTCCAACGGGCTGGCCACGTGGCGCTTTCCTGGTTTTCTTTACGTTTGTAACACTTAAATAGGAGCCAGTTTCCCTTAGAAAGTCCTCCCGGGAAGCATTTCCTTTCGGAAGATCGCCCACTTGTTGCTTTGTCGTATACAAATAAACCAAACTTTAATGGGCTTGCTAAAAAGATTCTATTAGTGCCCACAGGACGGAAAGTTTTAAAAACCGCCTAGAAATAACATATAAGATAGACGTAGGGCAATTTGCGGCCCTCCGCGATGTTTTCTACTATCCTCATATTAACAACTAGCAGCTAGGCCCGCGTTGCTCGGGCAAAAGTAACGATAGGGAAGATTAACATTATTACGTTATAGTCGACCTTACCCATTTTCAGAATGCAAGAATTGGGTCCCCCTGTTTCCGAACTGATTAGAGAATTTTTAGATGGTTCTAAAAATATGTTCGATTTCCCGCAAAAACGAAAAATCTGCATCTGCGTCTTGCACGTCGCTTTCTCTTAACAATTTCATTGTTACTTAACACTTCCATTGTTGATGGAAGTGTTAATTAAGCCTTAATCCTGTCCCTTTCCCCCGTGGGAAGGAATTTCGAAAAATCCCTTCTTAGTGTGCGTTTTCGTGACGTACCCTAACTGTGTATCAAATTTCAACTTTCAACTCCTAACCGTTTGGGCTCTGCGCTTATTATTATTATTATTATTATCATCAACCCGTCTCGATTATATATATAGATAATGCACTTTCCTCTTGATTACTTATCGCAGCATCGATCCATTTTTGAAAGTTCATTATTACTTATAGGCCTAAGCCCAGCTTACAGCAATAAAAATAATCATATTATGTATTCTAATCTGATACATAAACATTACACTTTGTGTTTTAAATATAAAAAAAATGTGAATTTTGAAATTAAAAAAAAAAAAAATTGTACTCTATAAAATACATTTATTGCAGGGTGTATCTATCTTCATATTACGGATGATATGTACTGTACTGTACTGTACATAAAGGCTATCACAGTCTTTCGTGTCCAAAAGGAATATTATATCATAACTGTTACACAAATGACAAATTGTTTTCGTCATAAAATGTATAGTAATACGGTGTACATTACGGTGTTCATATGGATTACATTACGGTGTTCATATGGTGTACATTAGTTATATTCAGTAAAATTCGATAACAATATTCTGTTACAATTTTTGTTCAATTTCGTTGCCTTCCTTAACTTTAAAAGTCCTGAAAAAATGGAATGCAACGTACTCGCCATCTAAAAATTTAAAAATTTTTCTATAAATTTCAAGAGTAATATTCTGTTACAATTTGTGTTCACTTTCGATGCCTCCCTTAACTTTAAAAGTCCTGAAAGAATAGAATCCAACGTACTCGCCATCTAAAAATTTAAATAATTTAAAATTATTNAATATTACCCGGTTTTAAAATATATTATTTCTTACCATATAAAAAATATAGACATAATTTATTATATTTTACCATGTAAGAAGTTATTATAACTTTACCAACTCTTCATGGATAAAATTGTAGTCTATACCTTGAGTTTCTGTTCCAATTTGAGACTGCAATCTGCGAGTTGACGAATATCTTGAAAACCATTCTGCATCTAAAAAGTAAGATATTAGCTTTCGAAAAAAAAAAAAATGACATTGCTAACACGAATACTTACCGAAAATGCGAAACAAGAGAGTAAACAACCCAGAATTGTAAACACGAAGGTAAAAACTATGGACTCTAGTAAGGAGACTAAACGCATTGAATCATTCACATCTGCAAATAGGTATGTGTAAAAGTAGAAGCTAATTATCCACATAACAGAAAAGTACAGAACGAAAAATGGATAACTAAGTTTAGTGTTAAATTGATTGATGAATATCCATAATTCTTGTTGTCGAAGCATCAATTTTTTCAATTCATTAGGAATATTCTTGTGAATATTCTTAGGAATATTCTGTTTGAACGACAGTTCAAACAGTACATGTTCAAATTCTTTATACGCGATTAACAACAATAAAGCTACTAACAATAAACCAAATGCAAATCCTCCATTTATAGGTATGACACCTAGAACATACAGAATAGTGCATAATAGTGCTTCTCCTTCAAATTTCTTCTTTCTTTCGACTCCGGGATAATAAACATATACATTCAAAAATTGAAAGGCAATAATAACCATTATTGTACAAAAAACTGTCAACAAGGAAATTGTTCTAAGTAAAGAATTTTTTTCTTCTATCATCTTTTGTTGAAAGTATTCATTTTTTAAATCAATTTCTAAATCGAGTTTGTTGTCATTTTTCGAAAGAAAAGTTAAGCATATGGAATAAGTTAAGTACATTATTGCGTAAACCGTTGTTAATAGTACAGGCTCATTGGTTATATAATCAAGCCACCCTTCGCAAATTGCGTATTTATTCAATATCGGTATTATCTGCCAGAATAACAATAAAGTCCATATCCATAAAGCATATTTTATGAATTTGACATAATTATTTTTTAATTTAATCATTTTTAGAGTAAATATTTCTTTCCTGCACCTACATATTTTAAAAATATCGAAGCCAAAGGGGATAGCCATCCTTAGGCAAGGTTCTAAGAAACAAGTTAAACAAATTGTTTCTTGTAAATTAGAATACATTTTTCCTGTTGTTTCTTACAAATTATTAGAAATATTTAAATAATCAATTCATATTTGCATAAATTATATCATCAGTAAACATTTTATAATAATGTATATAAATTAAATATTAATAGTACTTGCGTGAAAATGCATAAATTGCGAAAGTTCATGATAAATTAATT